CTCACTCACTCACTCACCCACTCACTCACCCACTCACTCACTCACTCACCCACTCACTCACTCACTCACCCACTCACTCACCCACTCACTCACTCACTCACCCACTCAACCACTCACTCACCCACTCACTCACCCACTCACTCACTCACCCACTCACCCACACAGAGTCACCCACTCACTCACTCACTCACCCACTCACTCACCCACTCACTCACTCACCCACTCACCCACTCACTCACTTACTCAATCACTCACTCACTCACCCACTCACTCACTCACTCAACCACACAGAGTCACCCACACAGAGTCACCCACACAGAGTCACCCACTCACTCACTCACCCACTCACCCACTCACTCAGCCACTCACCCACTCACTCAGCCACTCACTCACTCACTCACCCACTCACCCACTCACTCACTCACCCACTCACTCACTCACTCAGCCACTCACCCACTCACTCACCCACTCACCCACTCACCCACTCACTCAGCCACTCACCCACCCACTCACTCACTCACTCACCCACTCACTCACTCACCCACTCACCCACTCACTCACCCACTCACTCACCCACTCACTCAGCCACTCACCCACTCACTCACTCACTCACCCACTCACTCACCCACTCACCCACTCACTCAGTCGCTCACTCAGTCGCTCACCCACTCACTCACTCACTCACCCACTCACTCACCCACTCACCCACTCACTCACCCACTCACTCACCCACTCACTTAGCCACTCACCCACTCACCCACTCACTCACTCAGACACTCACTCACTCACTCACCCACTCACTCACCCACCCACTCACTCACTCACCCACTCACCCACCCACTCACTCACCCACCCACCCACTCACTCACTCACTCACCCACCCACTCACTCACTCACCCACCCACTCACTCACTCACCCACTCACTCACTCACTCACCCACTCACTCACTCACCCACTCACTCACTCACCCACCCACCCACTTACTCACTCACACACTCACTCACTCACTCACCCACTCACCCACTCACTCACTCACTCACCCACTCACTCACCCACTCACTGACTCACTCACCCACTCACTCACCCACTCACCCACTCACTCACCCACTCACTCACCCACTCACTCAGCCACTCACCCACTCACCCACTCACTCACTCAGACACTCACTCACTCACTCACCCACTCACTCACCCACCCACTCACTCACTCACTCACCCACTCACCCACCCACTCACCCACCCACTCACTCACTCACTCACCCACCCACTCACTCACCCACCCACTCACTCACTCACCCACTCACTTACTCACCCACCCACCCACTCACTCACTCACCCACTCACTCACCCACTGACTCAGCCACTCACCCACTCACTCACTCACCCACTCACTCACTCACTCACCCACTCACTCACCCACTCACTCACCCACTCACCCACTCACTCACTCACCCACTCACTCACTCACCCACTCACTCACTTACTCACCCACTCACTCACCCACTCACCCACCCTCTCACTCACTCACCCACTCACCCACTCACTCACTCACACACTCACTCACTCACTCACTCACCCACTCAATGACTCACCAACTCACCCACTCACTCACTCAATCAAACACCCATTCAATCACTCACCCACTCACCCACTCACTCACTCACTCACCCACCCACTCACTCACTCACTCACCCACTCACTCACTCATCCACTTACCCACTCACTCGCCCACTAACTCACCCACTCACTCACCACTCACCACTCACCCACTCACCACTCACTCACCACTCACCCACCCACTTACCCATTCACCCACCCACTCATCCACTCACTCACCACTCACCACCCACTCACCACTCACCACCCACACACTCACCCACCCACTCACCCACCCACCCACTCACTCACCACCCACCCACCCACTCACTCACCACCCACTCACCACCCACTCACCACCCACTCACCCACTCACTCTCTCACTCACCCACTCACTCACTCACCCACTCACCCACTCACCACCCACTCACCCACTCACCACTCACCACTCACTCACCAGCCACTCACCACCCACTCACTCACCACCCACCCACTCACCCACTCACTCACTCACCCACTCACCCACCCACTCACCCACCCACTCACTCACCCACCCTCTCACTTACTCACCCACTCACTCACTCACTCACCCACCCACTCACTCACCACTCACCCACCCACTCACTCACTCACCCACCCACTCACTCACTCACTCACCCACCCACTCACTCACCCACCCACTCACTCACTCACCCACTCACTTACTCACCCACCCACCCACTCACTCACTCACCCACTCACTCACCCACTGACTCAGCCACTCACCCACTCACACACTCACCCACTCACTCACTCACTCACCCACTCACTCACCCACTCACTCACCCACTCACCCACTAACTCACTCACCCACTCACTCACTCACCCACTCACTCACTTACTCACCCACTCACTCACCCACTCACCCACCCACTCACTCACTCACCCACTCACCCACTCACTCACTCACACACTCACTCACTCACTCACCCACTCACTCAATCACTCACCTACTCACCCACTCACTCACTCACTCACCCACTCACTCAATCACTCACCCACTCACCCACTCACTCACTCACTCACCCACCCACCCACTCACTCACTCACCCACTCACTCACTCATCCACTTACCCACTCACTCGCCCACTAACTCACCCACTCACTCACCACTCACCACTCACCCACTCACCACTCACTCACCACTCACCCACCCACTTACCCATTCACCCACCCACTCATCCACTCACTCACCACTCACCACCCACTCACCACTCACCACCCACACACTCACCCACCCACTCACCCACCCACCCACTCACTCACCACCCACCCACCCACTCACTCACCACCCACTCACCACCCACTCACCACCCACTCACCCACTCACTCTCTCACTCACCCACTCACTCACTCACCCACTCACCCACTCACCACCCACTCACCCACTCACCACTCACCACCCACTCACCAGCCACTCACCACCCACTCACTCACCACCCACCCACTCACCCACTCACTCACTCACCCACTCACCCACCCACTCACCCACCCACTCACTCACCCACCCTCTCACTTACTCACCCACTCACTCACTCACTCACCCACCCACTCACTCACCACTCACCCACCCACTCACTCACTCACTAACCCACTCACCCACCACCCACCCACTCACCACTCAACACTCACTCACTCACCCACTCACCCACCCACTCACCCACCCACTCACTCACCCACCCTCTCACTTACTCACTCACTCACCCACTCACCCACTCACTCACCCACTCACTCACCACCCACCCACTCACCACTCACCACCCACCCACTCACCACTCACCCACCCACTCACCACCCACTCACCACCCACTCACCACTCACCACCCACTCACCACCCACTCACTTACCCACCCAGTCACTCACTCACCCACTCACCCACCCACCCACCCACTCACCCACCCACTCACCACTCACCACCCACCCACTCACCACTCACCACCCACCCACTCACCACTCACCACCCACCCACTCACCATTCACCCACCCACTCACCACCCACTCACCACCCACTCACCACTCACTCACCCACTCACCATCCACTCACCACTCACTCACCCACTCACCCACTCACTCACCACCCACTCACCACTCACTCACCACCCACTCACCACCCACTCACTCACCCACTCACTCACCCACCCACTCACCACTCACCCACTCACTCACCCACTCACTCACCCACTCACTCACTCACCCACTCACTCACCCACTCACCACTCACTCACTCACTCACCCACTCACTTACTCACCCACTCACCACCCACTCACCCACTCACTCACCCACTCACTCACCCACTCACTCACTCACTCACCCACTCACTCACTCACTCACCCACTCACCCACTCACTCACCCACTCACTCACCCACCCACTCACCACCCACCCACTCACTCACCCACTCACCACCCACCCACTCACCACTCACCACCCACTCACCACTCACTCACCACTCACCCACCCACTCACCACCCACTCACCACCCACTCACTCACCCACTCACTCACCCACTCACCACTCACTCACTCACTCACCCACTCACTCACTCACTCACCACCCACTCACCCACTCACTCACCCACTCACTCACTCACTCACCCACCCACTCACTCACTCACTCACCCACTCACCCACTCACTCACCCACTCACTCACCCACCCACTCACCACCCACCCACTCACTCACCCACTCACCACCCACCCACTCACCACTCACCACCCACTCACCACCCACTCACTCACCACTCACTCACCACTCACCACCCACTCACCACCCACTCACTCACCACTCACTCACCCACTCACCATCCACTCACCACTCACTCACCCACTCACCCGCTCACTCACTCACCCACACACTCACTCACTCACCCACTCACTCACTCACTCACCCACCCACTCACTCACTCACCCACTCACTCACCCACCCACTCACCACCCACCCACTCACCACTCACCACCCACTCACCACTCACTCACCACTCACCCACTCACTCACCACCCACTCACCACCCACTCACTCACCACTCACTCACCACTCACCCACCCACTAACCACCCACTCACTCACCCACCCACTCACTCACCCACTCACTCACTCACCCACTCACCCACTCACCCACCCACTCACCCACCCACCCACTCACCACCCACTCACCACTCACTCACCACTCACCCACCCACTCACCACCCACTCACCACCCACTCACCACTCACCACCCACCCACTCACCACCCACTCACCCAATCACCCACCCACCCACTCACTCACCCACTCACCACCCACCCACCCACTCACTCACCCACTCACTCACCACCCACTCACCACTCACTCACCCACTCACCACCCACTCACCACTCACCACCCACAGATTGTTCTTCGTTGGTTCTCGCGAGCGTCAACTTCCACAGCTGCTGGGGCTCGTTCACGTCACTCGCTTCACTCCGGTACCTGCACTCGTCTTTAACGTGAGTAGCAACATCACCATCAACACCAACATCACCATCAACACCAACATCACTCACAACATCACCATCAACACCAACATCACTCACAACATCACCATCAACACCAACATCACTCACAACATCACCATCAACACCAACATCACTCACAACATCACCATCAACACCAACATCACTCACAACATCACCATCAACACCAACATCACCACCAACATCACCAACATCACCAACATCACCATCAACATCACCACCAACATCAACACCAACATCACCACCAACATCACCATCACCAACATCAACATCACTAACATCAACATCACCACCAACATCACCAACACTAACATCACTCACAACATCATCACCATCAACATCACTAACACTAACATCACCATCAACACTAACATCACCACCAACATCACCAACATCACCATCACCAACAACATCACCACCAACATCACCACCAACATCACCAACATCATCACCATCAACACTAACATCACCACCAACATCACCATCAACACTAACATCACCACCAACATCACCAACATCACCATCACCAACAACATCACCACCAACATCACCACCAACATCACCAACATCATCACCATCAACACTAACATCACCACCAACATCACCATCAACACTAACATCACTACCAACATCACCACCAACATCACCACCATCATCACCACCAACACCAACATCACCACCATCATCACCATCAACACCAACATCATCAACATCACCACCAACATCAACATCACTAACATCACCAACATCACCACCAACATCAACATCAACACCAACATCACCACCAACATCACCATCACCAACATCAACATCACTAACATCAACATCACCACCAACATCACCAACACTAACATCACTCACAACATCATCACCATCAACATCACTAACACTAACATCACCATCAACACTAACATCACCACCAACATCACCAACATCACCATCACCAACAACATCACCACCAACATCACCACCAACATCACCAACATCATCACCATCAACACTAACATCACCACCAACATCACCATCAACACTAACATCACTACCAACATCACCACCAACATCACCACCATCATCACCACCAACACCAACATCACCACCATCATCACCATCAACACCAACATCATCAACATCACCACCAACATCAACATCACTAACATCACCAACATCACCACCAACATCAACATCAACACCAACATCACCACCAACATCACCATCACCAACATCAACATCACTAACATCAACATCACCACCAACATCACCAACACTAACATCACTCACAACATCATCACCATCAACATCACTAACACTAACATCACCATCAACACTAACATCACCACCAACATCACCAACATCACCATCACCAACAACATCACCACCAACATCACCACCAACATCACCAACATCATCACCATCAACACTAACATCACCACCAACATCACCATCAACACTAACATCACTACCAACATCACCACCAACATCACCACCATCATCACCACCAACACCAACATCACCACCATCATCACCATCAACACCAACATCATCAACATCACCACCAACATCAACATCACTAACATCACCAACATCACCACCAACATCAACATCAACACCAACATCACCACCAACATCACCATCACCAACATCAACATCACTAACATCAACATCACCACCAACATCACCAACACTAACATCACTCACAACATCATCACTATCAACATCACTAACACTAACATCACCATCAACACTAACATCACCACCAACATCACCAACATCACCATCACCAACAACATCACCACCAACATCACCACCAACATCACCAACATCATCACCATCAACACTAACATCACCACCAACATCACCATCAACACTAACATCACCACCAACATCACCAACATCACCATCACCAACAACATCACCACCAACATCACCACCAACATCACCAACATCATCACCATCAACACTAACATCACCACCAACATCACCATCAACACTAACATCACTACCAACATCACCACCAACATCACCACCATCATCACCACCAACACCAACATCACCACCATCATCACCATCAACACCAACATCATCAACATCACCACCAACATCAACATCACTAACATCACCAACATCACCACCAACATCAACATCAACACCAACATCACCACCAACATCACCATCACCAACATCAACATCACTAACATCAACATCACCACCAACATCACCAACACTAACATCACTCACAACATCATCACCATCAACATCACTAACACTAACAT